GGGGGGGGGGGGGGGCGCCGAATCCCTCTGCCCAGTTGTTGGGAAGAAAGGTTTATGCTAAGTGCTCCCGCCCGGGCTGAAACCTTGCAGAGAGAGGGCTGTCTGCCTCCAGGTCCTGTCGCTGGTCTGGTGCACGGAGCATAGCAAGGCCAGCTATTGAGGGTTTGCAGAGAATTAAAAGAAAGGCAAACCTCCAAACTGCATGCCCCTGTGACTACTGACACCAGAACGGCCCGATCCTGACTGACGAATGAACAACCTAATGGGCCTCCTTCACCTCCTGTGGTCCCCGACCTGCTCACCACCCTCCCTCTGCAAAGCCATTCCCACCCTAAACTGCCCTGTGTCGCAGAAGCGCTTAAAAAACAACAAAAAAAGGGGAAATTGGTTACTTTGACAAAAAAAGGAGAAAATTTGGCAAAATTTACCTGCTTTGAGCCTGTCTGTGCCCTCCGTACCCCTACCAGTAGCGTCACTGGATGCTTACCCCCAGCCAGGCCTTTTCCCAGGTGGGAAATTTCCGTCTCCTTTCCCCCCTTCCTCTACCCCTCCGCCCGTTCCTTGGTTGTTAAAGACCTCGCGTGGTCAGAAGCTCTGGCTTGGACACCTCCCGAAGCATCACCCGGGAGGCCTGACTCCAAACCTGCCCCCGGGCCAGTGAGGAGCCCTGCAGCCCCTGCTTTACCCCGCTGCGTCCTTGGAGGACAGGACGCATGGTAGCAGCTCCCCACCACGTCTAACCGTGGTCTAGTTTCAGGGCGCTCGCTGGCTGCCTGCAACGATGTTTAACCGTCACAGACACCGAGTCGCCCATCGATACGGTTGTATTCTCCGTTTCTTGTGTGCTTGGTTGTGATTTAATGTGTGCATGTGGGGAGCAGACTCAACCAGAAGCCCTGCAGAAACCGTGCTCTGTAACGGCGACATCCTCGCTGACACCTTCTGGGCTCACAGCCTGGCGGCTGCCTTCGAAACTCCAGCGCGGCTGGGCTACAAAGCAGAGGGGAGAGATGCCGAGGCTGAAATCCTGCCCGGACTTTCCCGGGAGAATGTCTGGGCTGGGGGTACGAGCGCGGAGGGAGAGCCCTGACCCTTTTGTTCGGGACACAGGTGGAGTGAATTTTGCAGAGCCTGAAATATATATTCACATCTTGAACTGCGTGAACTAGAGCAGATTTTAAGAGGGATGTGAAGAAATCCAAAAGGTTTGTTTCCCCCCAGATTCCTGCTTTGGAAAGATGGGAGACAGGACAAAGAAGAGGACAGAAAGCTCCAGCAAGCATTTTTAAGGCAGGTAGCTTTGCAACACACTCAGGTCTTGGAAAACATGAGAGCCAGGAGAAAGAGCAGCGGCGCAGAAAAGGGTGCATCTGCACTCTGCCCCCGCTCAACCCCGTGGCTTTCCTGCAGACATCCCCAACTGTCAGCGCCACGCTATTTTGGCAAGAGAGGGGCCCCGCGTCCTCCTTGCCCGCCCCAGCCCGGCCGCGATGCTCACCTGGGCAGCCCGCGCCTCCTGGCATGCCGCGAGGCACAGGAGCAGAAAGAGGCTGTACCGAAACCCCCAAGTCATGATCCCGCCGGGGAGAATAGACCTCTCCTCTCGAAACGTTTCCCACCTCCTGCACGTCCCCGGCAATTCCAGGAAGGCGGCACGGGCAGCCGAATTTGCCTCCGTCCCCGCTGCGAGCGCTTTCCGT